GTGTGACTCTTCTCAGCATCTCGTCTGGAATATCAAACGCGGAGTACCAAATTAGCTGTTTTTCAGGCTTGCGAAATGTAGATAGAGCATAATGAACGTTCTGGGCTGCTTGTAAATTACCTCGTATAAACTCCTTCACGTTGCCCGCTGCCCCATCTTTCTCCATGTGCCTGTGGATAAACACGATTTTTTATCCTTCTAATTATATAAAGTTAGAAGAAGAAGGGGACACAGAATAATATTAGCATCTCCCAGAAGGAATAAATAAACCATGAGGACACCGCTACTCCTCACAGGGCTGAATTCTGTGCTTTCAAGAATACTCACCATACATACCTCCTTGCCTCTGCAGAAGGTAGATTTACAGCTGGTATGGAGGGACAAGTGGGGAACACCCATTCCTAAGCATCTCAGCCCTGAGCCTCATGTCCAGCCCAGAACCACCATTTAGTAAGCACCTGCTGCATACCAGATACTGTCCTAGTACCTTTTTTTTTTTTCAAGAGCAGTCTTAGGTTTCAGAAGAAATGAGCAGAACGTACAGAGAGAGTCCCCATGGGCTGCCTGCCTCCCTCCCACATTCAGATCCCCCTGTTATTAATACCTTGAATCCATGTGACACATTTGTTACAATTAATGAACCAATCTCGATCCATTATTATTAGCTAAAGTCCATGGTTTAGAGTCTACTCTTTCTGTTGTGCAGTTTGGTGGGATTTTAAAAAAATGTGCAGTGACATGTATCCTCCATTACAGTATCACACAGGATCATTTCAGGACCCTAAAACGCCCCGTGTCCCTCCTGTTTATCCTGTCGCTAAGCCCCTAGCAGCCACTGATTATTTACCATTTCCATACTAGAGTGTCACAGAGCGGGAATCACCCAGTATGAAGCCTTTGCAGACTCGCTTGTATGTTTCCTCCCTGTCTTTTCATGGCTTGATCATTCATCTCTAAATATCACTGAATGCTATTCCACTGTCTGGGTATACATTTGTCTATCCATTCATGTACTGAAGGACATCTTGTTTTGTTTTGTTTTTTTTTCCTAAGTTTTGGCAGTTGTGAGTGAAACTGCTATAAACATTTGTGTGCAAGTTTTTGTGTGGACATAAGTTTCCAGCTCATTTGGGTAAATACCAAAGACAGCAATTGCTGGAATCATATGATAAGAGTATGTTTAGTTTTAAAAGAAACTGCCAAACTGTCTCCCAGAGTGGCTGTATCATTTCGCATTCCTACCAGCGATGAACCGAGAGTTCCTGTTGCTCCATATCCTTGCCAGCATTTGGTGTGGTCAGTGTTCTGGACTTGGGCCATTCTAGTAGGTGTTACAGAGATATCTCGTTGTTGTTTTAATTTGAATTCCCTAATGACATATGATGTTGAACATTTTTTACATACTTATTTACCATCTGTGTATCTTTTTTGCCAAGGTGTCTGTTCAGATCTTACACCCGTTTTTTTAAATGGGGTTGTTTTCTTGTTGAATTTAAGTGTTCTTTGTATATTGTGGATACAAGTCCTTTAGCTGATATTCTGAAAGATTTTTTCCCAGTCTGTGGCTTGTCTTTTCATTCTGTTAATACCCGGGCAAGTTTCGTGCCTGTATTTTCTCATTTAATCCCCCCCACCCTCTGTAAGCTATATAGTATTGGCTCCTCTTTGATAAGCAACCCAAACTAAGGGCGATCAGTTGACTTACTAAGGGATAAGGCTAAGATTTGAACTCATATCCTGACCCTCAGCTTCATACCTCACATGATGGGTGTATCCCACTGGCCACCGGTTAGCCCTCTGGGAGTGAACCTTGGTCATTGCATAATAAAATAGCCTTTCACAACCTTGGAAAAGTAGAGGTATCTTGTATATGGATGCCTTGCAGAGCCCAGCATGGGTATTTGCATCTAAGTGCCTTAATATAGGGTTGAGTGCCTCTTGTAACCCAGCCCCTGCCTACCTTTTTTCTCTCTCCTTCTGTTGCTCTAATCCCCTCACACTGCTGTGTCCACAAGGCAGGAAATGGTTTTCAGCCTCCCCAGTGTGCTTGCTTTTTCAAGAGCACTGTCTTCACTTTCTTCGTTCCCTCTGAGGGAAGGACCCTTCCTCTCTGTCTACTGGTTAAGTCTTAGCACACTTTTAATTCCTCATTCACATACTCTTCACAAAGCCCTCCTTTCTCCACTTCCTAGACCTTGAAGTTCTACTTCTCTGTATAGTCTGTCTCCCACACGAGATTCCTTAAGCATGAGTATCATTTTGATAGTACTTCCTTAGGCCATTCAACCAGCCTGCACATTGTAGGTTCTTTATGAATGGATGAAGACAAGATACCGACAGACACCATCATCTGGTGGGTAGAGGCCCCTTTCGTCTTTAAGAATATTTAACTTAAATAAGTTTGTTTCTTGTTGGTTTTTTAAATCCTTTTTGCTTTCAGATTTTAACTTTCATTTTATGTTAAAGTAAATTCCCTCACGACATTTTAAGCCAGAGTCACTGTTTCCAGTGCCGTTTCCAGGGGCAGTCACAACTCAATAAATAAAGGAGATTTTTGAATCAATAAGTCATTAGTGAGACCAATGAGTGAAAACACAATGTGTATTTTTACTTTTTGAAGGATTATCGTTTTTGTAACCACTGGTAATGGGGCTCAACAGTGTCAGCTTAGAGTCAGGTGCTGGGCCTTGTCTGACTCCTTGCTCCTAGAGTGGGGTGGGAGGGGTCCCCCAGGAAGTCCTACTCCTGGGGGAGCTAGAGTACTGCAGGATCTGGGACCAACCTTTCGCATAGACTCCAGGAGCAGTGCCTGCCAGATGCTGGAAGTCCAGGGAGAGCACCATGTGTGGATGGAGCCGGCATTCAGGTTCGGATAGACCTGAGATAGAATCCCAGCTCTGCCACGTGCAGGCTGCATAACGTTGGGAACGTGCTTAACCTCCCCAAGCCCCCATTCCTTCATCTGTGAAATGGGAAGAAGGAACATACTACAACATCATGGTATCATTATATACTGTAGTAATCCACAGAGCTATGTTGAGGAATAAATGATTGAGTGAGTTCAGGTTTATAAAATCTGATACTGGCCATGAACTCCATAAAGGTGAACTTTGGACTCCCAGCTTCATACCCCACTCCCCCACCACCCCCAAAGAGATGAGTTAGTCCTCCCACCAGCAACTCTCACCCATGAGGAGTAAGAAAAATGGCAATCCAGCGTATCTCTGTGTCTATCATAGTGCCTGGCACATGGTCAAGGACTAATTTTTGAATTATTTAATTAGTGGATATGAACTAACGTCCTGCCCAGTCCTGCCCCATCCTCAGTCCCATTCCTTGCCTTCAACTGGGACTAACCATTTGCTCTCTTCAGCTGACCCCTGTGGCTTGCATTTTGTAGTCTCTTGCCAGCTGGCATTTGGCTGACTTTGGCCAAGGACATGCCCTGGTGGGAGATTGGAAGTCAGCGAAAGGAAGAAGCCAGGGTACATCTCCAGCTCCCACCAGAGAGTGGGCCCAGCCCCACCTCTGGTAACGTCGCCTCTACCATCTGCCCCACCATTCCCAGGGGGGTAACATCTCCTTGCTAGCTCTGATCTCTGAGTTAGACAGCCTCTCTCTGGTTTCTCAGCTCTTCCATCATGGGCTAACCAATTCTTTGGCATTAATCCCCCCCCCGCCATGTACACTTAAAGCCGTCTCCAACATCCTGCTTAGACCCCTCTTTGGAAGCAGGAGTTTCTGAGCTTAGAATTAGTTCCACCACACATGGGCCATGCGGCCAGTCAGTCCTTGGGAGCCTCAGTGTCCTCATTTGTAACAGGGCTATGCTGCTTGTCTCCCAGGCTCACTGCGGAGTCCAACAAGGTGATCCATTCGTATGCTCACTAAGGATTTGTAGAGCGCCTATTGCCAAGTGGAGGCCCAGAGGATGAAACAGGGAACAAAGCGCTAATGACCCTGTTCTCGGGGGCTTCCTGTTCGTAGTAATAGATGTGCCCCTTAAACTGCACAGGGCTACATATGTCTTAGCAGGATACGCTGGCCCAGCCTCCTGATCCCAGGGATACTCGCAGATGCTCTGAGCGCTCCAGCCTACTTGCTGGGAACCCTAGCCCTGTCCTAGACTGGACAGCAGAAGCAGGGACATGTAGCAATGGGTGACAGGGACCCAGACAGCCAGCTGAGCCCCTCTTCCCTCCAGACCCAGCCAGGTTGTTCTTTCATGTGCATCCTTAGCGTGTTACCACGTGCCTTAATTAGTTGTAAAGAATTAGCCTGATTCTTCTGCACGAGGGTTTTTTTTCTTCATGGTGCTTATTTGATGTTATTTGGAGTAAACGTGCCATTGACTAAACCCTGCAAATCTTGTTTATGCCTGGATTGTGTCTGAAATGGCATTCTCTGTAACATGTTTTTAGTTATTGATGACCTCTTTTATAATGACGGAGCCTGCTTCCCTTGAATGATTGTATTGATAACAATATGTGGCCAACAATCTATTTGCAACAGTTCTCCAAGAGACAAAGGGAAAGCATTTGCGCACATGAAGAAAATAGTCAAATTTGCCGTTTTTCAGCAATAATGAAAACATGTTAGTTCGGATCCGACGCTTCTCGCCTCCTAAGTGTTCTGATCTCTCTCACGCTGTCGTGTGAAGAAGGTATTTCTACTGCCCTTTTAATAACAAAATCATGAAGACTTAAAGAAGCAGGCGACTCACCCAGGTGGGTCATGATGAGTACTAGAAGGGCAGGTGGAAAAAAGAGAAGGAGCACATACAGTGCTTTCTAAGGCACAGAGACCTCCCTGAACCTCAACTGCCTTATCTGTAAATGGGAATGATAACAGGGTGGGACCAGGGATCAAACGAGAGAAGGTATGGGAAGCAGCCCGATGCCCATACTACTGACGCATGGGAGCCTTGCAGGTGGGCAGTGCTGGCCCCTCGCCGCAGCTCCTCACCGCCCACCTCCTTGTTTTGTTCTCTCTCTCTGCAGATGACCATTCCCGAGTGAGGCTGCTGGTGCTGGATGGAGATCCGCATTCCGACTACATCAACGCCAACTACATTGATGTGAGAGTCTCCACGGGGCTGGGCGGTGGGGCTCTGGGGTTGGTTGTAGCAGGCTCGAGACCCATGGCTGTCCTCCAGCCTCTCCCCCAACAAGGTGGCCCTCCTAGAACGTGTCCAGAGGGGTCCGGCCCCTCCCTGATTTATGTAATTAGCATAACCCACATTGATTATCCGTCTGAAGCTGTATCCTCTTTGGAGCTGGCTGGAGTAGCCCGCTCCGTGGGACCTCAGGACAGCTGCCTATCTTGTTCCTTCACCCATTAATTTATTTGTACGTGTGTCTGTCCATCCATTCATTCATTCGAAGGCATAGCCATTTTTGCAACACAAATTTAAAAGTGCCTGCTGTGTGCCAGATGCTATGGGAACCATAAAACTTAGAGCACCATGGTCTCTACCCTTTAAAACCTGAGCAGGAAGATAAGCTATGCACATCAATAATTCCAGGGCCAACTGGAAAGTGGTAAGTGTCATGTGTTCAGATAAAATGCTGCAGGGATTCAGAGGTGGGGGGAAAATCGCTTTTTCCATCAGGAATGCAAAATGTGATATGAACCAAAGCTTCAAGCACAGGATGAATTTAAAGTATAAAGAGGGCAAAGATGGGGCCTCTAGTTAGAACAGCACAAGCAAAAATGTAGCAGTTGGAGCCAGAGCGTCTGTAGTGGCTCAAGGTGAGCAGAGCAGAGACTATGTCGTGGGGGTAGTAGAAAATAAGGTTGGAGCTAAGTCATCGGTGGTTTGCCGTCAAACTTAGAAAGCCAGGCTTGATTCTGTAGGCAAGAGAAAGCTGTTTGAAGTTTTGATCGTGGAGGTGACCAGTGCAGAGCTGAACTTTGGGATGATTTTTCTATTGCCAAAGATAGGATAGATCTGAGGGAAGAGTGTCCGGGATCCAGACACCCAGTTAGGGAAGGGGATTGTTTCACCATGGAAGTGAGAGTTTGCAAAAGGGGAGCATGGCTGCCAGGGATAGATGGAGGTCCTCTCGTAACCGGCGCAAGCCAGGCTTCTCAGGACCTCAGCTAGGAGCCCGAAGGCCTTGACAAATGCTGGAGTTCCTCTTGGTCTCTCTGATGCCCAAGTGTTTCTAGAGACAGGCTATGAAGTGGAGAGGTATGTGTTTTAATTCCCCCTAATCTAGGCCAATCCAGCTGATTTATTGATTCAACAAATATTTATTGAGCCTGGTGTTAGTCATTTGTCTGTTTGCTTTCAGATCTATTTCTTGTCCTTCCCCGTTCTGCTTTGCATTGCTTATCTAAGTATGTGTGAAATGGTGTGCCTGTGTGAGTGTGTGAGTGTGTGCGTGTGCATGAGAGCAAGCTGACCCCTACAGAGAAGGCACTGATTGGAGATTGGAGGGTGAAGGGAAAGCTGCTGTCCGGCTTCTCCCTCACTTAATTGGGGTGGCAGCTCCGGCAGTGGCCGCACCCCAGCTGGGGCACCAGCTTCCACCAGAATTCCCACCTCTGCCAGACAAACCCAGCTCTGGGGTCTGGCAGCTTCTCTGTCTCCCATCATCCACTAGTTCCAGGGGCGGTCACAAGTCTCCTGCTGGTGCCAGTCTCTGTGTTGCCCCTCTGTTGCCTGGTTAGCATCTCAGCTCCTCTATCACCAATGTCACCAGCGCCCCATGAGGAATTCCCTGAGTCTGAAACACCCAGAGTGGTTTCAAGTCCCCACCGAGACCCTGGCTTTACAGAAAGCCTAACTCTGGTCAGGACCTGGGGCTGGAGTTTCAGTGGAAGTCAAGGTCAGCACGGACTCTGTCCCCGTGGCCCTCCCAGGAAAGTTCACAGGAAGATGGCCAGTTCAGATCAGCCCGTCTCGAGCCTGGACAAAGCACTCTGAGTATCTGCCCCTCATAGCTGCAGCCTCTCCTTCATGCATCTAGGATTCATTTCTCAAACACTGAGCAGGTCCTCCACTGTGTGCTGGAAATCCAAACCTGAAAAGGGACTCAGTCTGGTAAGGGAGTTGGGTAAGAAAAGAGACCCTCATAGAGCAGGGCCTGTGCAAACATTAAGGAAAACCAAAGCTTTGGTTGGGGTGGGGGTGGGTAGTCAAGGGAGCCTTCCTGGAGGAGGTGACACAGTGCTGCTTTAGACAATGAGTAAGAGTCCAGTGGGCAAGAAGGATTGACAGTAACCTAAGATCACCTCTTGTGTATCAACATTAATTTAACTAGGACCACAACCTCATGAAGCAAGCGCCATTACTACCCATTCCCAGGTGAGTTAGCTGAGGCTTTTGATTAGTTATGTAACTTATCGAGGATCTCACTGCTAGGATGTGCAGGAGAAGGGCACAGGCGTCTGATCAAGGGTCACTTCCCCAACGTATTCTGCTGGCTTAAATAATAGCAGAGTGATGACAACAGCCAGTGGCTCTAAATGAGTCATGTTTGGGCCCTGTGATGGGTGGTTTCAAAGGAGACGGTTTATGGAGACCACTCAGTAGCCCCCCAAGTTAGGTAATCATCCCCATTTTTTCAGAAAGGGAAGCTGAGGTTGAAGATGTTGCACAGTTTGGGGAGGCTGGATGATTCAGTCAGTTAAGCATCTGACTCTTGATTTCAGCTCGGGTCATGATCTCAGGGTCATGAGGTGGAGCCCCGTGTCAGCCTCTGTGCTGCGTGTGGAGCCTGCTTGGGATTCTCTTTCTCCCTCTCCCTCTGTCGCTTTCCCCCACCCCTCTGTCTCTCTCTCCCTCTCCAAAAACAAAAACAAAAAAAGTTTAAAGAGATTACAGAGCTTTAGTAAGGCCATGGGTCTGGTCAGCAGCAGAACCAAATTAGGAACCAGACCAGACCAGTTCCCAGTGCGGGGCCTTTCCTCCTGCTCTCCCCATCCACTCCCAGACAACACCTTGCATCCCGCTCACAGTGGGGACCCAGCATGCAATTAACCAGAGTGAACAGAACTTCCTTCCGGTTTCCCCCTTGAACTTGTCTACAGCTGAGTACTTGTGACAACCCCAAAGGCCCACATGGGGTCTGCCAGCCTGGGGTGCCATATATAGCATTTGTCATCTGACTGGTAACCCTCCCACAAAAGTGACTTTCCTAGAAAGACTCTTCCCTAGATAAACAAAGTTGCGCGAACATCTGACTACAGTCAGAGCCAAGACGCACCGGGTATGTTATAGGCGACAAATGAAATTGCTTTAAATGCAGGTGAGTCTCTGTGATGTCAACACTGAAAACGCCTCCCATTCCTGCCAGGTTCTAGCATCATTACAGTGCATTCTGCAAGCCTTTAAGGATAAGAAACCAGGGGTTGAGGTTGCTCAAGGTTGCATGGCTAGAATCCAGTTCTCTGTGCACTAAGCACACCCCACCACCTTCTCCCTCTGGGAAAGATAGATTGTGCAGACAGGCCAGCCTCTGCTAGATGCTGTCTTCATAGGTGACACTGGCCTCTGCTGGATCTCAGTGGTCAGAGTTAAATGTTCACGAGACCAGAGTCATGAATTCAGCCGTTGCTGGGCCGGTTGAGTCCAGAACTTTCTGCTTACTAGCCTTATGATCTTATTTACTTGTTCTGATACCTGTAAAGCGGGATAATAATGCTACCCCGGCAGAATACGGTAACAGATATATCTGTCAGTCTCCCCTTAGGAAACAGGCTCACTCAAAGGGAGTAATGGGAGGTGGGGGGTTAACAAGGTAGGAACAGGGTTAAAGGAAACCAATAGGGTGGGGTGCAGTATCCCCGAGCTAGAAGGGGTGACCTCTGATGGAGAGTCAGTGCCAACCTCAGCGGCCTGACGGGGACAGATCTAGAAGAACATACCCCCCCAGCCTCCCATGGCCTCTGAGCTCCTGCTTCTGCCCCCTCCCCATTGGCTGAACCCAACTGGAAACCAGCAGTCATGAAACCCCATGACGTAGTCCATACAGGTCAGCATCCAGCCCACAGCACAGAGCAGAGTCTGGAAGGGAAAGGTGGGAACATGGCGGGGGAAGCATGTACCAAGTACAAGCACCTCCTCGCACACTGTTACCAATATGGGGTGGGGTGGGGGGTGGGGAGTCCCATGAATTATGAACCTACCATGTTCTCCAGCAAACTTAAAATGCCTAGAGTCCTTTTGGGGATTCCTGGCAAAACACACCCTAGATAGCTCCCTAGGTCCTCACTCTTTTTGCCTGCTCTCCCCCGCTGAAATCCTCCTGGACATTTGCTCTCAGAAGAGCTAACTGCCCGCGCTGGAGTCGTTTATCCCCAGTTGGATCTTGACGATCCATTACAACAACTCCATTTGGATAACGAGCTCGATGGGGCCAGCCCTGTCTGTGCCTTCAGAGTCCATGATTCTGCTTCTGTCTGAACCATCCCGCCGGCGGGTTTGTTTGCACGCTCGAGAATGGATTGGCCCCTTGAATCTGTTATAAATTACCAGTCTGGAAATAAATATCGTATCTGGGTCCCCAGTAAGTAACAGATGCAGGAGTTCAGAGTGAGATAAATGCGTTTTGGATGCAAGCCTCTTTCCCATTGCTCACAGACGGATGGAGGCAGGCCCGGTGCTGGTTTGCAGTCGATCTGTGTGCTGTGTAGGTGGGACTTCAACGAACTCAAAGTTCTTTTAAGGTTAGGAAGTTTTCTACACCAGTTCTTGGCAAATCCCCAGTAAAGCCGCAGCCGAGCAGTACATTTCCTTTTATCTCTGTTGCTGAGGAATCGCATGGTTAGAATGTTTTCTCTTTGGGGACTCGATGGGGTCTTGGAGACCAGAGAGGGCCTTTTTATGCCCATGCAGCATGCAGATGGGCACACGGCACACGTGCATGTGTGCATTTGATATGTGTTTATCAAGGCTGACGGCCCAGGCAGACTTGTGGGTGCTGGGGACATGGGCACGTGCAAGCCGGACATAGCCTTGTCCTGCCGGTGCGCTCACTCCGCCGGGGAGACAGACAACGAGCATGTCCATAACCAAGGAACATTCTGCCCCTGAGTGATAAGTGCCCTGAAGAAAAGGAAACCAGAGAAATGTGAAAGGGGCCAACAGGGTGGTCGGCAGGGGGGCTTTCTGTGAAGTGACTGACAGCCAAGCAGACACCAGGCGGAGGGGAGAGAGCAAACCTCCCATCTCACCGGGGCCAGACGCTGGCCGGCCCAGGGAATGCCCTGTGCAAAGGCCTCTGCATGGAAACACGACTCCTGTGTCTCAAGAAGAGCAGGACAGCCGGTAAGCCAGGGCAAGAGTGGTAGGAACCGGGCATGCTGCTGGAGGGAGGAGACAGGAACGCCATTAAGAGTGTCCCAGCATCACCTCTGAGACCCGCTGATGCAGACATGCCACCCACCAGCCTTTGCTAAAGACTGCTCCCAGCTCTGAGTGTAGGCTCCACGGCCCAAGGGGACAAGAGGACAAAAGCCGTATTGCCACTCATGTGCTCTATGTGTTGGTTGGGCACACGTGGAAGCCTGCAGGACTGCTCGGGGAGGAAGGCTCATTTGAGGTGCGGTGCAGGGAAACAGGGACATGGGGCTCATGGGAGGGCATGGACAGTGACAACTGCCAGTGAGGCTAGAGACACAGATGAGTCCTGAGGTAGGACATTTGGGCACGATCACACAGACAGTGGCGGGGGGGCGCACTGCAGGCTGTTTGGTAGGGAAATACCAGAATCCGATATGCACTGGTGAATTCACTCCGGTCGGAAGCAGACGGGCAGTGGGACCAGACTGGAGGCAGGGAGGCCAGCAAGCTGTGGCTCGGGTCAGGAAGGACAAGGACTGCAAGTAGGAGTTGATGATGCAGGTGACGGAAGACGGTGGGCTTGAGAAACCACACCCTTCTACACTCTAGGGGACTATCTTCTGTTCCCAAACCTAATCAAGAAAACCCCCAGAGTCTAATTCTTCCTGTAAACCTCAGAACCCCTGTCCCTCTTTCTCAGAAGAGCTCTGGTCCCTCTCACCTCCCTTCCCATCTCTCATGTCTCAGAGAGGGGCTCAATTTTCCATTAGAGGCAGAGCAGTGAGGAGGGACGGGCTTCCAATCTCACCATCACCCAGCGGTCAACATAGACGCTTAGTCATGGTAAGCACCCTATGAATGTTTGCCAGACGACCAATAAAATAAATAACAAGATAAAATCATATATGCTAAATCTTGGACTATAGTGCCTGTGGCATAGTGACTGCCATGTAATCTCAGTAGCAACGCTACAGTGTAAGTCTAAGAACCTCATTTGAGGGTAAAAGATCAATGGAGGCACAAGGAGGTTAAGTGTTAGCTGCAAACCACACAGCTCCCAAGGGTGGGAGCTGGGATGCAAACCGAGGCCATCAGGTCCAGAGTGTGTGCACGTGACCCCCTCCAGCGGTACCTAATTTAGCTGTGTTCCCAGCCACTTGTTCATTGGACATTTGCTCTGAGTCTCACACTGTGTGAGGCCCTATAGACATTTTTTTTAAAACTTAGAGGAGGCAGTGTTTGTCCTCAAGAAGCTGATGACTTCGCTAAGAAGTTATCACACAAGGAGTTTAGGTGGGGTTGTTGATTCCTGGGGACTGTGGTTAATCCACCAGTTCTGGCCATGCCACCGGCCCTGGGTTGGTGCTGACAGTGAACTCAGGCATCTCTAGAGTATGCCCAACAGTTGGAAGGAAGCTCCTCAGTATTTATGGGGCGAGGGGAAGACTGACCTGGAAAAATACACCAGGGGCTCAAAAACGCGTCTTTGAATCAGAAAGTGGATCTGGGACTTGAAAGATGCCACATCTGTTTTACCATTAACCACACAGATGGCGATTCTGGCTCATTTCCTGAGTGAGAGGGCCTTGAGGCAGCTCATTCCCCCCTCCCCCCGCCCCCGACAGGACAGAAAAACTGATCACCAACACTGGAGACAAAACGAGGGATTCGTCAACCATTCGGGCTTGTTTCCTTTTGAGATGGTTAACCATAAAGCAAAGTGGATTTCGGGGCTGTCTGTGACCTCTCCACCAGCAGGATCCCTAACTGGCATCTGTAGTTTGAAAACACATCCGTCTGTCCATTCATTCACTCACTCTTGTGTTCATTCCATAAATACTAACTATGTACTAAATGCAAATCATTGTCCAAAACGTGAACTCTACCCAGTATGGTATAATTCCTCTCTAGAACTAGAAAGAGCATCCCCCGTGGATCGCCATACCCAGGCAAAAGAGAAGGATCTCTTCAACCTCTTCCCCAGTGATGAAGGTGATGGAGCACCGAGGAGCCCCACCCCAGGGCACGGCAGGGCCTCCTGGGGCACCGAAATACACAGACATATCAGAAACTGGTCTCTGAACCAGAAAGGGGCTTTATCATCCTCTAGGTCACACCTGCGTGCCCCCCTCCCACCCCGATGAGTGGGACTTCCAATTCCAAGCCCCACCATGTGGCACAGAGAGGCACTGTGGCATTCTTCCCAATTTTTTTTCCCCGAATCCTTACTAAGGCAAGGGGCCAACGATGCAATGGTTTTCTTCTGTCAAGTGCCCTACAGAGACTCACACGGTGTTCTGCACACAGTTAGGACCTAGGAGAGACTTTTTGATGGTTTGTGTCCCTCAGGAACCCCCAAATTCCTTCTCTACCTTTCTGGGTGCATGGGCCTAGGTAACGGCCACCCAGTTTTGCTTCCAAGGCAAGCCTATATGGGCCCCTCCCAAGTAACTATTACAATGGCTCACTCATTGAGTGATTTAATAAGAGTTTTCCATGCGTTACCTGATTTCATCTTCGCCACTTCTCTGGGAAGTGTCTGATGCTCTTCTCATTTTGCCTGTGAGGAGAGCATGTCTTGGAAAGGATAGCTATTAATATTGTGGTGTTTGCGAGCTTTGACTGGAGGCCCTTCACTCTGCTTCTCTCCTGTCATCCAGGGATACCATCGACCTCGGCACTACATTGCAACGCAGGGTAAGTGCCCTCCTTTCCCTCGAAGCTGTCCTTGCCCTTCACTGGAAGAGAGGAATGGGTTGCTGCCAGCAAAGAAGTCACACGGGCATAGGGCTGGAGAGCCTCCAGGGGTGTCTGGGAGCAACCATTTGTTTGGGAAGGAAAGAGGTGACAAATTCAGCTCTAGGTAGGGATATGAGTAAGAGATGAAGGAGGTACAGCTGAGAAATGGTCACAGGCAGGGCAGACCCGAAGCCTCAGCCTCAGGCTAATGTGCCCCAGGGATCCACCATCGAGAGCTAAAGCTGATAGTGCCTGATCTCCTGGACGAGCGTGCGTCTAGAAGAGAGAAGTACTCAGCCGTTCTGGAAAACAACTTTGACAGTACATTATCAAAGGCTTCAAAATGATCCTACCTCCCAAACCCTTTGGGGAAGAAATACTGTGGATCGTTAGAGAGGTGGGCAGTCACGTATACAGAGATACTCATCACAGTGTTATCTGCAATAGGAAAAAAGGGAAAAATCTTCAATGCCCAACAGTTGGTAGCTTGTTTAAATAAAGTATAATACTTCCATATTGTAGACAATTATGCAGTGAACATGTACCATGCTTGGTAAGAATTTTTAAGAGCATGCAAAATGTATATAATGCATATAATAATTTACTTATTACAGCAAATGCATATGTGTAAATACATACACACATACATATATACACACACACACACATATATACATATACAGGAAAAGGCTACTGAGATTTTTATATCAAATACATGTATTTCTTTTGTAATTGTAAAAGTGATGAAGGCCCAGGACATTGAAAGAGAAATTTCCAAGGAAATTGCTTTGGACTCTCAGATCCTCTCTCCCTCTCCTTGTCCATTTCTTTTCCCTCCCTCCTGTTGGGGCTCCAGGGGAATGCTCCCTGTGTTTGTCAAGCTCAAACTCAGGCCTGTACCGTTTGCACTGTGAGCCTCCAGCTCCTGGCAGCTTTCTGTCCTCCCTGACCCCTGGAACCCCAATTTCTTCCCTGACTCTCATTGAGGTCCTAGAGCCCGGTTCTTATGAAAACTCCCTTAAGCCATATTATTAACCCATAATATAATCCCTATAAGGTGATGGATGGGGGCAAGTGGGGCTGGGGGACAGCCCCTGAGGAGGACAGAGGAGGGAAGAGGAAAGGCTGTGGGTGTATCTCCATGGGTGCTGCAGACCATGCTAGTTTGGAATGCCGCTTGGCTTTTCTACTCCGGCCCTGGTCTCAGCAACTTGGGTGTCCCAGCAGGGATCATCTGGCCTCGCTCTCACTCACCTATGCAGAGCCTGGACGGACCAACCAGGAGGGACAGTCTCCTGGCTGCCTTCTTGCACTTGTGGTCTTTGACCCTGTCAAAACCTTCTCTGTCCTCAGGTCCGATGCAGGAGACTGTCAAGGACTTTTGGAGAATGATCTGGCAGGAGAACTCGGCCAGCATCGTCATGGTCACGAACCTCGTGGAAGTGGGCAGGGTAAGCCCCTCCCGCAGTTACCTGGACAGAGGTTGCTGGCCCTGCCCTCCTGAGCATCTCTCTGTTCTGTGCCTTACGGCACGTGCCCCTACTCAACACTTCACTCACAACCCGCGTGGGAGAAATCCTCACCCCTGCTTCCCATTCGGGGAATACGGCCTTTCCCTCCAAGTCATCATTTTCTCCATCCTTGCTCGGTTGATGACGTCATCTCATACCCTTTGGGGAAATGAAAGCCATCAGACATGAACGCTCATCTTCACACCACAAAGCCACAATCCTACTTGCATCTATGACCATCTTCTCATTCTTCCCCTCTGTTATCAGGGTGAACCATAAAAAAGGGCCATTTTTGTTGACCCAAATGGTAGACTGTCTGCTGTTTCTAAAGGCTCAGCCTCCTACGACGGAAGAGGTGACTCTTGCCCTTTCAAAAGCAATCCCAGTGCCTTGAATCACAGATTCTATGCAAGAATTTTCTCATTTCCCCATCACTCAAAAAGCAACGCTTTTTCTCATTGCTGGATTATTCCCCTGAACATACAAAACATCCTGAGCACCTTCCCCCTGAAAATACAAAACAGGCCAACAAAAAGGATTCTCTTGTCCCTGCTTTTCTGCCAGACTTTGAAGACACACACAGGCTCTGTTTCTCCACCCCCGTTCTCTTCTCCCCTCTCCATCCCACCCATAGTAAGACGGTCAGTATCACCAGCATCCTTCATGTTGACGAATTCAACCACCACTTCTTTCTTTTCATTGAACTCAGTCTCTCAGAGCATCCGACCTTTTGCTCCCTTACCTCTAAAACCTTGATAGCCCTCAGGGTTCAGGCCTTGGTCTCCTGCTCTGCTCTATCTCGACTCTCTCCTACGTTGTCCTTAGCTAATCCTAGGGCTTGGAGATGGGACTGCTATGCCCGGCTTGCTTTCGCTCACTTGGTAAACTGCGGTATGTGGGTGGGTGGGCTGTTGGGTTGAAAGGCAGGGTGCACAACACTAGAAGAAAGAGGGCTTCTCTACTTAGCATAGGAACTAACCGGAGAGTGGCCAGGTAAGTTTTTGTTTTGGCGAAGGACCAGATAACCCGTTAAAATAAAGAGTCCTGGCCTCCAAGATCATAGGCGAGAGAACCTGGGCTGTCTTCATAATCAGGAAAGGGCTATGGACATCTCATGGCCTCAAAGGGTTCTGGGGCCAGGAGAGACTTTATCCTTGAGCCCACTCTCACTTCGTCCCATCCCCAGCTTTACAGATGAGGAAACAGCCCCAGAGGGGCTGGAGCACCTACCCCTTAGTCCTCTAGCCAGAGCCCAGCCATGATCTCTGACTCTTAACTCTCCTGCTAGTATCATGGCCCCTCCACTCACCACTGCTCCCCAAGGACCCAGACCCGGAGAGCAGCTACCACAGACAAAAAGCTCCCAGCTAGGATTTAAGAATTCAGAAGCAAATTCCACCCTGTTCTATAAAATGTCCCATCTTGGAGACAGATTCCCTCGATGGACAGATCACGAATCTAATTTGGATCTGGGGAGGGAACAGGGGAGCAGTCTCTTAACAGAACTCCTGCTGGGAGTCAACCACTGTGCCTGATGCTCCCTGTGCATTTTTTCATTTTGACTCTGACCATTGCACGGGGTCATGTTTCTGGTAATTATCCGGGTGGCCTGGCTTTGCATCCCGGCTCCATCCCTTCCCGACCCTGGACAATTTTCTTAGCCTCCCAATGCTTCTGCTTCCTCATCCGTAATGTATGATAATCATGTCTGTAAAGGTCGTAGTGATAAGCAATTAAAATAATACATGGAAGGAATTTGTAGCACACTCAGCAAGCGGTGTGGGATGCGGCGAGCTGTGAGTGAGTGTTAGCTGCCCGTACAAATAGTTCAGTTGAGCCTGAGAGAGATTTCAGCACTTTTTGGAAGCTGTCAGCTGTTAGAACCAAGCAATGCATCCGTTTGCCTGCCAAGCCTGTTGCGCTATACCAGCGTTTCCCTAAGTGGGTTCCATGGGATGCTAGTCTGCAGGATGCCTAGTGAGAAGAGGGTTCCATGGTTAAATACGTTTGGGAAATGCTGTGCACTTTTTGCCCCTCTTGGAGAGTCGAAAACACTTTAGCGTTAGCACAGTCAACGAGCTGAGGAGTCTTGTAGCAATGCGGCCTGTTTAACTTTGTTTAATCCAGCATTTCCCAAACTCATTTGACCACAAAACCTTTTTTTGTTTGTTTGTTTTTTTTGTTTCTTGTTTTTTTTTTTTCTTTACCTAACACCTATTAGCTCCCAGCGGAACACACTGTGGGAAATGCCACTCTAGGCCGCGCGGCGTCCCCCGGAATGGTAATGCTTTTGTTCTTTTTAGGGGAAAACAGTGATCTCTTTTTCCTCCCGCGGAGTGTGACCTAGAGTCCAGTATGGGACTGGCTTGTCGCTGGCATCTGCACCCACCGCCCGGGCAGGGAGCCTTTGTGCCGACGCTTCCCTTTGGGTCCCGCTCCTTGCATCCGTCTCCCAGCTGAGAGCCTTTCTCCTTCCAGCCCCCAGTCACCACCTCTGGATGTTAATGACCCTCTCCCCACCCCCTCCGCTTCCCACCTTTGATTCTCATCTCTGTTCCGCTGATGCTGCCCCCCTGCCCCACCTGATGATCTAGCAGAAAGAGGGCTCAGCCAGAGGTAGAACACCGGCCCGGTGACCTGGGACCAGGTGCCGGAGCTCCCAACTCGAGCTTTGTTTCCGCCTGTAAATGGGGTAACACCACCTGCCTATCTCACCTCGATTGATTTGCTCACCTAGTGTGATAATGGACTTGGAGATTTTAAGGAGCTCTGCCGAAGAAGGTACTACCATTATTCCTAACGGCTCCAGTTCCTTTGGGAGAGGGCGTGGCCCTGTGCGGTTTGCCAGTCGCTGGCGAGCTGACAGCCCCTTGGACCGAAATTCCACCCAAATCGCCCTCGGGTTTATCGGAACAGGAAGGCCGGACGAGGCGGCTGCTGGCACTCAGCCGTACACTCATCCGTCCTTGTCTCTGTCCTTCCCCGCAGGTGAAGTGTGTGCGATACTGGCCGGATGACACGGAGGTCTACGGGGACATTAAAGTCAGCCTGATTGAGACTGAGCCCCTGGCCGAGTACGTCATACGCACCTTCACCGTCCAAAAGGTAAGCTTCCCAGCAGCTGCCCGTCCTGTGTCTGCCACCAGGGACAGATCAGCAATTGAGTTGACGTGGATCCTATTCCAGAGGCTGCCCCCCTCTAGCAGGAGTGACAAACAGAATTCGGCAGGCAAACAAATGGACTAAGTGCCATATGGTGATAAAAGCTATGGAAGAAACCTGCCACGAGTGAAGACAAGATGAGGTGGTCAGAGAGGGCTTCCTGGAGGAGGAGGCATTTAGGCAGCCAAAGGAGAATGAGAAAGTCAGCTGAGGGAAGAGCAGGAGGAACCCTGTGCCAGGCAGAAAGAAACAAACACACAGAGTCACAGGGAAAGAAGATTTCCGCATGATCCAGGCCTGTGGTTTTCAACTAGTGGTGATTTTGACCCCCGGGGGAAGATTGGCGATGTCTAGGGACATTTTTAGTTCTCAAAGCTGAGGAAGGAGGGGTGCTGCTGGCATCTGTGGATGGAGGCCAGCAATGCTGTTGAACACCCCACGATGCTCAAGACACCCAGCCCCCAGCAACAGAGGATTATGTAGCCCCAAATGTCCATGACGTCAGGATTGAGAAGTGCTGGTCTAGGCATTGAAAGGAAGCTGGGCTGGCAGAAGCTTGATAAGCAGGAACAAGATAGCAAATAAGATTTATCTTTTAATTCCTATTATGATGATCACTAACATTTATTGAACAATTACTAAAGCAGGTGCTTTTCTAAGTGCTTTGCGTACATGACGTCATTGAATCCAACAACCTCTTGAGAGAGGTACTATTATTACCCCCCCTTTTTTTTTACTCCCATCTTATAGGGGAAGAAAATTAGGCACAGAGCATGTGTGTCATTTCTGCCACATTGCCCAGCTGCAAGCTCGCTGAACCACATTCCCACCTCAACCCCTGACTTGAAGCTCAATGCCCCTTCCACTTACTCTATACTTGCCATTTTCTGGAAGCATCCACACTGATGGACCAAGTAGCCACAGAGCCAGCAATGCAGAAGCACTGGGGATTCACTGCTCTGAGAGCTGTGCTATTGGGGTTCGGACAAGTCCCTGGGAGGACCAAAGCAGGCACATACTCGGGACAGCAAGTGCACGCATGGCACACTGCTCCTGGCAGCCTCCCCGCCACCACCCCCCCGCCCCCGGCCAAGCCTCATGCTCTTAAAGGCCTGTGTCTGCAGACTCAGTCGAAGAGCCAGGAGCGAAGGGCACTTCTCCATGACAACAGGTATACCAATGTGGCCTTAGGTCAGGTTCCTTGGAAGCAGAGCCTGAGACAAGGATTTGGGTACAGATGGTGTATCCAGGGACCACTCTCAAGAGAAACTTACAGGAGAGGGAGGGAAGAGGAGGGAGAAGAGGAAGGACCTGGGCAAGGACAGAGTCTTCAGCGGAGTCTAACCTAGGCCTGATCCACAGGGAATGCTAGAGCAGGACCTGCACCCCAGACGTGGCCCCTTGCTTCCATCTGCCCAGACTGTGGGCCAGCCAGTGAGAGGTCACCTGCAGTGCAAGTCAGATCCTGTGGGCTGAGGGCACTTCTCCAGAAAAGGGGAGTCACTCTTAGCCAGCACTCCTACAGCAGAGGCCCAGGGAGGCAGACCCCAGAGGAGGATCTGGCATGGATGCAGTTAGTGCAAGTAGTGAGGTGAGTAGTGGGGACAGAGGAGCCCATCCTGGGCTCCACACCCGAGCAGGGAGGCATCAGAGAACCACAGGCAGGTGCTCAGCAAACACTGCCCAGGTCCTTAGCTCAAAATCGGTTCCTGAGCCAGGGACCCAGAAATAGTAGACAGGAAGTGTTGTCTGCCCTTGAAGAGAGCATAGTCCCACCAGGGAGGGAGGAGCCCTGATCCATGACGTCAGTGGAGGTGGTAAGGGCTGGAACAAGGGCTTCCCTGGGCTGAGTTGACCTGGAGAATGGAATGAAACCCTGAGTGTTGCTGAAGCTCTTTCTTCTACTTCAGCTTCTGGGTCAGAGCCTCCATCTGGGCCTTTGTTCACTTCCGCCTGGACCCCCGCCCCAGCTTCCTACGGGGCTCTCTTACTCCACTCTTACTCCATTTTAGTTTGGGTTTCTGGAAAGCTGAGCCTGTGGCAGGGCTTTGGGTGTGCTTGCTGAAGCCTGAGGAGGAGCTCTGAGAAAGGGAGGGAGGGAGGGAGGCAGGCAGGCAGGCAGGGCAGGGCAGTGGAAGGAGCCAAGCCAGGACGTGCTCTCAGCTGGAGACCTAACTAAGGCAGCTGGATCCCACGGGCGCTCTGGGGCATGAGCTCCCCCACACACTTGATCCTGTCTTGAGGCAAAGGGGTCCTCTGTTCCTCTGTTACGGCCACCCAACATCCTAGTTTGCCCAGGACTATCCTGGCTTTAGTAGGAAAAGTCCCATGTCCCAGAAAACCTCTCAGTCCTGGGCACACTCAGCAAGTCAGCTGATCACTCTGCTGTCCTGTCAGCCCCTGAATGCCAGCTGCCCACTCCCACCCCCAAGGGACGGGGCTCCTGGTTGGCTGAGCAATTCTCTGAAGAAGGGGGGAGCTGTGGGTGTCTGCAGCCAAGACTCAGGAGCTGGAGATGGAGGTCCTGGCCCAGGAATGGGGATCTGGGAGGGTGCCATCAGTGCCTCCTGCACTGCCCCCCAACATTCGCACTCCACTCCAGGCTCCACATAGTCCCCAACACAACCCTCCCAAAATGCAAGTGTGATGATGCACTTCCCCTTCTGGGCAACCTCCCCAGATCCCCAGTGAGACCCCGTGTGGGATGCAAGGCCTCCCAGCAACAGGCACCAGCCCAGCCTCCCACCCACAGTCCCTCTGTCCACCCTTGCCAGTCTTCCACTCCTCCCCAGGGGTGCCCTGTTTGTGATTCTGTGCGTGTGCCGTGCTAAGTCCTGTCCCCGTGACATTACCTGGGCTGCCTCTCTGCCTGGGAGTCCTGCCATCTCTTTGATGGGGCAACACTCAGGCCTCAGTTTCTCATAGTGACTAGGAGTGCAGACTATGGGGACCAAGAGCCAGGGTCCAGACTGGGTTACAACTTAGGAGTTGTGTGACCTGGTTGTGTTCCTTAACCTGGCTTAGCCTCGATTTCCTCATCTATAAAACAGAGACAACATATGGACTGGTATGAGGATTAAAAGAGTTAGTACACCGAAATGTTCAGAAGAGTAATAGGCCTGCAGTCTGTGCTTAATAAATGTTAGCTACTGTTTTCACTATTAATGTATTTCAAGACTCAGGGCATGCATCACCTCCTCCAGGAAGCCTTCTCTGAATTCTCCTTCCCCAGCTGGGGTTACCTGACGCTCCTTTAAACACTTCAATAGGTTATTCGCTTAGGAGCCTACCTCTCCAGCTAGACCATGAGCCGCTCCAGGGACAGGGACTGTGGCTTTTATTTCCACCTTCACAGTGCCTAACACAAGGCTTGGCACAGATAACCCTCAGGGAATCTTCCTTAACCGAAAGAATGATCAAACACTCTTCCTATTTGTTGCTCTCTGCATATCTGCAGGAGATTGCAAGGTAGGAGAAAGTAGGTAAGGGCACTGCATAAGCACAGGCCCCGAGGTGACACCTGACTACGGACTGGGCAGAGAAGCGCCTTAGCCTGCAGGGTGTTACTGAAGAGTGGTAGGAGGGGAAGGGGAAGCGACCAGAGCCCCAGGCCCCACTGCCCCCATCAGTCAGAGATGCTCTGCTTTTATTTGTTCCCTGCCTTATCATTCTAAATAAGAATCTAACGAATAGAGGAGTCTGACACATTTTTTTAAAACTTGAAAGCCATGAGACAGTGAGGGTCACAGACCCCAGTCACTGAAAGGCCTCGTGTTCCACTGGAAGTGACTTGAACTTGGTGTTTAAGACCAACCTTTCTCTGAGTCTGTTCTGCTGAATAGAAGTCCCTTGACACCCTTGTCAAAAGGACAAACACTGTGGGTGTGTTACAACGCCCCCTTGGGGATGCAGAGTGTACACCAGTCCACTGAAGGCTCTGAGAAGTCCTGCAGCAAAGCCACTACCTCTACATTATCTACTTCCCTGGCTCCCAGACCCAACAGATTACATAAGTCACCCTTTGTAGCAACCCTTGCTCACCTGGCAGGATCTTGTCCTCCCCCATGGCAGTCAGGCTGGCTCTGGCCCCTCCATGGCTGGCTCTGCCCCTCCATGTGGCAGCCGTGCTCCCTGTGGGTGCTGGGTGGGCATGTGGGGGTGGCAGCTGGAGGAACAGAGGCCCCTTCTCTCCTCAGAAAGGCTACCACGAGATCCGGGAGCTCCGCCTCTTCCACTTCACCAGCTGGCCCGACCATGGCGTCCCCTGCTATGCCACCGGCCTTCTGGGCTTCGTGCGCCAGGTCAAGTTCCTGAACCCCCCCGAGGCCGGGCCCATAGTGGTCCACTGCAGGTAAGCACTGGGCTCCAGCTCCAAACAATGCTGCTTCTATGGTGCTGCTGTCTGTGAGGGAGTTGCATTCTTCCCAGCGGCGTTTCTTCTTTGCCTTCAAGACTGCCCTTCCTGTCTCCAAGCCCAGCCCAGATCTCAGGGTCTGCTGACAATAATAATAACAACAACAACATAGTAATAGTAACAATACCAGTGAGTATCATGACTGTTACCCTGAAATACTAAAGCCCCCTGGGGATGTGGGCTCACACTGACAGGGTCTGTTACATGTGCACTTTGCACACTCCTCACGCAGCCTGGAGGGGTGGGCGCTAGCTTCCTTCCCATTCTACAGATGAGAACATCGAGGTGCCGAGAAGGTGGACCATTTGCTCGGGTCACGCAGATATAAGCCGGCGGCGCTGGGAGTGGACAGGCTTTCGTCCAGAGGCTTGCCCTCGGCTGCGTGCCACAGCAGCGGGGAGCCTCCGTGGAAGCGTGCAGCTCTTCAGTTCTGTTATTTTAAAAATCAATTGTTGGCCTGCAGGGTCCTTAACAGAGAGTAAATGGACAGCGCCAGGCTTCACCTTATTATGGAGAAGAGGTATTTTCAGCTCTGACCTAGAAAGTCGCATGGGGAGTGACTGGCATGTCTTCCAGTCCCCCTAAATGGAGATGAAGTGTCATGTTAAGGGCATTAAAAATGGGACCAGACCTGAAGGCCGTCTGGCCCGCACACTCCCGCCTCCCTCTTCCAGTGTGACCTTGGGCCCAGGCCACCTTTTCAGACCCTGTGTGTTCTTGACTTAGGCCTGCCCTGGCGGTGTTTATCTCAGTCAAGGTCCCGAGTGAAGCCAAGGAGTGACTCCACAAACTGCAGGCATCTCAGGGCCAACCTCTTGTCGCTCAACATCTGTTTACCCTCTCCACATGAGCGGGTGGGAATTAGAGACCCCGTTTCACAGATGAGGTCACTGAGGGTTGGCAGGTCACAGTCACCAGCAGCCCTGGGCTCTCTAAGCATTTTGCATATATCCTCTCTTTTACAGCTCATGACAGTTCAAGGACAGTAGAATATTAGCCCCCCAAGTCCCGTGTCCCAGAGGGCAGCCAGAGCAGGGGTAAGGGAGGAAGGGAGATGATTTATCAGCCTCTCCTTGAGTGACAGCCCTGTCTTTCCTCCAGAGCCAGCCTGCCCAACATGATGAGCACAGTGGTCTCCACTCCCGGGGCCATTCTGAAGATGAAATGTGCTGGCTGACCTATACGCAGTGCCTAGGAGAAGTCTTGACACCTCATGGCACTTAAAAACACTACCGTTCTCTGCCTCTAATACTTGTCCACTCCCCCAGACTGTTCATTCTTCAGAGCAGAAACCATGTCTGCTTATCTTCGTGTCCCCACTCCTAATCCCAGCATCCAGTGCTTACTGGATGCTCCATAAATGTTTGTTGAATAGAAGTGGCTACATTTACTGAGAAATTGCAACGTCGGTAGGCATAGGGCTAGGTAATTTACATGTACCCATGCTTTTTCAGCATCATTTCGTGCAATGTACATGTACTGGGCTATCGACGCGACAGGGTGGATTTGTTTATTATTATCAGCCTCGCTTCATGGTGGTTGTTATTGAAAGCCAGAAAGGTCAAGTCATTTACCCAAGGTAACACAGCTAGTAAGTGGTTGAGCTAGAATTGGGTTCCAGGGGTCTGTCTGACCCCAAGTATGATGAGCTCAGCTGCTGTGTGAGGCTGAAATACAGCTCAGGTCCTCAGGAGAACCCAGCAGGGAGGCAGGTTGGATGTGTGAGGCTTACAGCCACCGGGCAGGTTGTTCACTGGTGGTGGATCCAAGATTCAAAACCAGGTCAGGCTGCTAGTTTTCCCTAACACAGGTGGAGGAGGAGGCTTCAGGAAGAGGCAGATGAGTGGCTGTTTGTGCCCCCTCCTAGACCCTGAGGCCTACTTGCTGCATCCCTTCTGCGGGCATCTGGACTGGGGTGTGGAAATGTATAAATACAAGTCAAACTTCGCCACTTTAAACCATGAAATTTTACTAAGAACCAAGACTGCTTCCCATGGGTTTGTTTTCCAGATCATTGTGGGACTGTTACCCAGTCCCCACCGGCCTGTCCTGCTGGGTTTATGGTCAGCCAGTCCTGCTCTCTTCCTGCCCCATCGCTGTTTCCCTAGGGGAAGCAAGATGTGAAAACACAGCCAGCATGGGCCTCCTTGCTAACTTGGCCTTCGCTTCTTAAATTACGTGCACTTAAGGCCAGTGTTCTATTTGTCTCTGGTTCAGAGCCATGCCTGGAACCCAGCGCGGATCGGGGAAAGGCTGGTCGTGGGTCCAAGGGTCATGCTGAGTTCTTTTGCTATTTTGTACTTGGTCTGAGATCTTCCTAAAAGAAGCCACCAGTGATCAGAATTGAGCATGCATCAGAATCAGAATATGTCTACCAGACAAGGGCCTTGGGGCTGTCACCTATTCTAGTTGTAAACTGCTCCTGGCTCACATTCCTGGGAAAGCAGGTGCCCCTGGAGCCAAACCTGGGGCTTGCCACGTGGGACTTCGGATTCACTCTGCCTTTGGGCCCACTCAGAGGATCTGCCTTCCCACCACCTCCCTTCTGTTCCCACATCTCTCCTTCCTTGCTTCCATCTGTCAGCCTGCTTGCTGACAAAGGGAAAAAGACAGAAGGGGGAGTGAGGAAGACATGTTTATTAGGCATCTCCGGCATGCCAGGCACCATGCCTTGTACGATATACAGCGGAGAGCTTCACCCACTGAAGGAGGAAATAGCGTGCGGATGTGTTGTCAAAGCATGTGTTTTGTGCTATGACTGTTACTGTATCTAAGAGCACAGATCCAAGAGCCAGATGGCTGGGGTGAAAGTCCCACCTCCATGGCATGCCAGCTTTGTGACCTTGAGCAAGGTCAGCTCTCTGCGCCTCGCTTTTCTCACCTGTAAAATGGGGTGAGAAACTTCCCAATGCCTTCACAAGGGAGTTAATAGGTAACATTTATAAAAGCACTTAGAACAATGTCTGGCACTTTGTAGCATTAAGTAAGTCCTTGCTAAATGAGGACAACAAAAGGTAAGCAGGTTCTGTTAAAACAACACCCACGGCAAGCATTGCTCTCCCATTTTACAGAAGAGAATGCAGAGGCTCTAAGATCACTCACTTGCTCAGGGTCTCATGGCAGCGCTGGGATGCAGACTGTTGTGTCTGGCCTCTGCAGCCTGCTGCCCCTCTACAGGGTTCTTGGGGCAGGGCTGAGTGGTTGGTGGAGGCAGGGAGGTCCCGCCTCCCTACTCCCTCCTACTACTCCCTCCCTCCCTACTCCCTCCGTCCTCCCTACTCCCCCGCCCTGAGGTCTCTCACAGACACTCTCCTCTCTTCCAGTGCTGGAGCCGGGAGGACCGGCTGCTTCATTGCCATCGACACCATGCTCGACATGGCAGAGAACGAAGGGGTAGTGGACATCTTCAACTGTGTGCGTGAGCTCCGGGCCCAGAGGGTCAACCTGGTACAGACGGAGGTGAGTCCTGGGGGACTGAGCAGGCCAGCGAGCTGCAGCCCTGCCCAAGGAGAAGCAGGATAGAACAGACACCCATGAGTGGGGGCATCCTATAGAAAGAGACATGGGGTGAGAGAAGTGGAGAGAGGGCATACCTGACTTGCTACACTGGGAACACAGCTGCTGACCCTGAGGTCCCCAAGTGCAAGCACTTGCATCAGTGGGGGTGAGTTCCCCAGCTCTGAGGGCATCCAAGCAGGGACCGAATGGCAACTTTCAAGCATTCTTTGAATAGTATTCCTGCCCTGGGGGAAGGAGAAGACAGAGAGGGATTGGCACTTCCTGAATGCCTACTGTGTGCCAAGCACAGTCCCTGCTGGAATGACTTTGCCAACAAAATTAATGAGTACTTGGGCTGGGTTCTAGGGATTCAAAGGAGATAACATAGCCCCTGCTCTTGAGGGAAAAGCAAGCCTTCAGGCATCCCTGTGTTCCAGTAGAGAGCCCAAGACCCAAGGGAAATGGGAGGAGTTCATCTTTATTGTTGAGTACCTACTACGTGCCAGGCATCATGCTAGGTCCTTTATATTCGGGATATTATGTGTATTCCTCACAACAAGCCTGTGGGGCAGCTCCTACTAGTATCCCCATTTTACAGATAAAGGGCCCCCAAGTCCTCACACAGGTGGACAGTGGTGGAACCTGGGTGCATGTGACCCCAAGGCCCATGCACTTTTCCCTGAACCATACTCTCTTGTTAGGCAGCCTTTTCTGCCCACCCTACTCCTCAAAGCCATGGCTAATTCTTCTTATAATGAGCCCATTGCCTGGCTCTAGGGAAGGCTGTGGGTGCCCAGGCAGGCAGCTAGGGCAGATAAGAAGCTATGTCCTTCATCAGTCCTGCAAAGGGAAGTTTTGGGTTTGGGCCTGGCCAGGCACTGCTGGCTCTGTGGAGAATCCCCCCATTTACATGCATATACACATAAGTGCCCGCTGTGGGCTCTGAGCTAACTTCCACAGGCTAGCATCTACACTGGGTGAGGCTGCAGGAGAGCCAAGTGGCTGCTTTCTCTGTTCCCAGATTCATGCTTGCCGAAGACAGGCTCACTGCCTGGCACTAGACACGGGGTCCCTGCTGTTTGTGTAGAGACAGGCATCCAGATCGATCATTGTGATACATCTGGATGAGTGTTTGATGTAGAGATGGGCCAAGTCACTCAACAAACGTTGGTTAAGGGCCTGGGGACAATAGCAACAGCTTCCACCTGATGGGTTTGCAGAAGACTTTCCAGAGGGAATGAAGCAGAGGGGCCATAGCAACAGGGGCACGGGGTTCCAGGGGAAGAGAACAGCAGGAGCAAAGGACACAGGTGGCAGAGGGGCCCAGGGCTCGGGAGCAGACCCTGAGACAAGGCATGTGGTTGATTTGGGAGGCGATCCTGAGACTCACAGGTTGGAAAGCAAAGAGAAGGAAAGGAAGCCAGGCTGTGTGACACTGCTGAGGGGATTTGCAAGCTGTTTCACCCTGTGGACACCTGGAGCTCAAGCCTGCTGGGAGCTCTGAGGGAGTAGGGAACATGTCCTCCCAAATATCCTACCTGGGACAGAAGGAGCTTAGATGTTTCTGCCCCAAGTCTCCGGCGGACACTTCTTGAGGGTTCCTTCCCAGAGCGCTGACTCTTTAGCCTTGCTGGCTCACCCTGGGCACAGCCCCAGTGTGCTCCTGGGACCAGAAGAAATCCCTCAGCACGAATCTCAGGTGCTTGCGGTTAGCAGCCTCCAAGGTAGAGGTGACAGCCAAGGGGACAGAGGCAGGCACCATTAGCCCGTGCTGCGGCAGGTCCAGAAGTTTCTAACTGTCATCAGTGACTATACTGCTCGGTCCCACAATGTAGCCTCACCCTTGCCAAGTGAGCTTGGGAAGAATCAGGGAAGCTTGGCCCTTTGGGGTTGGAGAGGAAGCCGTGATGTGGCTATGTAAATCCTGCCCATCCTTCCCAGCCATGGGGTTACATCTGGGAGACACATGCCCAGGCCACTGTTCTTCTCACCCAGACCCCTCTCTCTCCCCTCCATGGCTTGGCAGGAGCAGTACGTGTTCGTGCATGATGCCATCCTGGAAGCGTGCCTGTGCGGCAACACCGCCATCCCCGTGTGCGAGTTCCGCTCTCTCTACTACAATATCAGCAGGCTGGACCCCCAGACCAACTCCAGCCAGATCAAAGACGAATTTCAGGTAAGAGCAAGGCCTGGGCTCGGTGACCCAGCCAACTTCAGTGGCGCTGAGAACATTCGTGGGGTTTTCTTTGTGAGAACGGATAAGCCCAGTGCTTCCAGTGTCCGAGGCTCTAGAAAGCTGCAGAATGAATTCCAGAACATTCCACGCACAACCGTGAACCGCTATGAACCAGTCACTCGATGATTGTTGACACTTGTTTTTTAACTAAGATCCTGTGTTTGAACGAATGGAGTTCTAGCTAGTCTGAGTTGTGGGTGGAGACGAGTTTCTAAACACAGGTGCGAGTTTCATGCTCCACCATCCCTAGAGGGACTCGGGTTTTCTTGCCATTTCCGTACAATTGGAGCGTGTGTGTCCTAGATCCTCCCTACTACCCAGAATGGGGTCTGGAGGCCAGCACCATCAGCTTCACCTGGGAGTTCATCAGAATGTAGCATCCTGGGTCCCATCCACAGCTTCTGAACCAGAGTGTGCAGTGTAACAAGATCTCCAGATGACTTGTCTGCACAGGAGACTTTGAGAAGCACCGTTCCAGAGCTCAGCTCAGCTCAGACATAGCACATCTGTACCTTGCAGCCCAGGTGGCCAGAATGGTGGCAACTTGGTCTGGAGGCCTGGACGTGAATTACTGCGTGAGCCAAGAGTCCAGGCTTTTGTCCTCAGGTCCGTGCCGGGGTCATCCCTGGGCAACAGTTGCTGAGAACCAGGCAGCAGGAAGCAAGGAAGTTCCAGAAATTGAGGGGCAAGTCCTCGGCCCATGATTCCACAGGCAGATACTCCAGCCAGCCAGTACCCCCATGCTCCCTCCAAAGGAAGCTTTACTGATTGGGAGGGGAGAAATGGAGGCCACAGCCCCCTCCTGGGTGCACCTAGCATCTGGTCTCCTGGCTGGACGATTCAGCTCTGGCCCCATGCTTGCAAGACTCACTGCAGAACACAGCCCTGAAGTTTTCTACACTCCTAGATCTTGCCCCCTGGGGGTCTCTCACCCATCCTGAGCAGTTCATTCTAAAACCCACTGTCTCGGGGCGCCTGGGGGGCTCAGTGGGTTAAGCCTCTGCCTTCAGCTCAGGTCATGATCCCAGGGTCCTGGGATCGAGCCCCGCATCGGGCTCTCTGCTCAGCAGGGAGCCTGCTTCCCTTCCTCTCTCTCTGCCTGCCTCTCTGCCTACTTGTGATCTCTCTCTGTCAAATAAATAAATAAATGAATAAAATCTTTATAAAAGCCACTGTCTCTGAGAGGAGCATTGGGTAAATCCTTTCCCTCCTTCCAGGATACTTCAACAGAGGCATAAACACTGCTTAGAGATTCCCAGCCCCACCCCCACCCCCTGACCTCCTGGCTGGCCCACCCTTTACTGAGATGAGCAGGTTGGCAGGTGTTGGCAGTCTGTGTCCGCTCTGCGCATGGGCATGCTGCCTCTGTAGCCTTGGCATCGGGGTGTCATACAGTCCCGATAGGGAGATGGCAGCATGTCACATGGGAGAGGAACAAGCCCTGGGGTGGGGGTGGGATGGTGGGGCGACTGGAGGGCCAAGCTTGGAGGATGGAGATAGGATGGGGTAGGCTGAGATTGAACTTCACTGTCTCTCTGTTTGAGGCACCCCGCCTGAGCAGTGCCTACCTGTCTGTCTTTGTGCCCTACAGACCCTCAACATCGTGACCCCCCGTGTCCGGCCCGAGGACTGCAGCATCGGGCTCCTGCCTCGGAATCACGATAAGAACCGGAGCATGGACGTCCTGCCTCTGGACCGCTGCCTGCCCTTCCTTATCTCGGTGGATGGAGAGCCCAGCAACTATGTCAATGCCGCACTGATGGACGTAAGCTGAGCCCTGGCTGGCACTCACTGGGAAATTCCTTCTAGGTGGAGATGGCTAGAGCCCAGGGCACCGACACCCCTCGCCATCACCCCCAGGCAGCCTCTCCTTCCTCCTGATCTTCTGGCCCTAAGACCTTTGCTTCCCCGAGGGCTCTGGTCCAAACCTGTAGACAAGCTGTGTTCTGGACTCTTTGCTCCCATATAAGCCTGGAAAGAATGCACCGAAAGCATAAAGTGTGTGTCCATGACATCACGGTGCAGGCCTGCCTAGTCCCCTCTCCTGCTGCCTAGAGAGCTGACTCTCAGCCCTCCGTCCAGTTCAGGAAACATTCTCTATGCCAGGCCTTGGCCTGAGCCCTGGGAATGCAGGACGGTGTAGACATAGGTTCTGCCCTGGAGGGGCTCCCAGGCAGGTTCCCAGATAACTCTTGTGCAGAGGCAAGAATGAAACTGACAGGTTACTAGATAAGTGATGGGATGTGGCAGAGGGGGCATGGAAGGGGACATGCCATGTTCCTGACTGTCCCATCAGGGGCACTATCTCCTGCTTTCACAGCATCAAGTCCAAGAAAGGCACTCCCACCCTGACCTGGTTGCGGAGTCATGACCCTAATGAAGAGGTCACGTCCTTGCCCCAGGGGGTCCTTGCTCCTGACTCATAGGCTTTCCCACTGGTCCTTCATCTCCTTCCAGTGGTCATCCCTCCACCTTCTGGATGTAGAGATGTTTGCAGCAGGAAGGAGCCATGGATCATCTGGTCTCATCCTTGTACTTTTCAGCAAAGGAAACTGAGGCCAGAAAGAGGAAGAGACTTGCTCAAGGTCACTGGGAAAGCTAGTGGCAGAGCCAGAACCCAGAACTCACACTCTAGAATTCATTCCGCGGGCCTCCCCACACTTTGTGCAATCCAGGAAGACACAGACATCTTGCCTCCCAAGGCTCTGGACCAAGAATACCATTGCCTGATTGGAGATAAGCCCTTCCAGGTCCCCCTCCCGACCCATGTCCAAGGTCACAATCATGTAGCCCACATGGACTTCCCATCTCCCTCAGAGCAGGCAGGAATGCAGAGTGCTTTCTCTTGGGGTCAAAGCCAACTATCTCTCTGACCTCTGATCCTCCTGAAACTCTCCCCAAGGGCCCTCGGTGTTGGAGGCGGGGAGGTGACAGGAGCTTAGTGCCTATCAGCTCTGTGGCGTCCTGCCCTGGCCTCTGCCCACGGGGGGCGCCCAGCCTCCCTTCTATGGGTCCAGAAGCAGGGAGCTTTGTCTTGGTCAGATCAAATAGCTGGAGGTGGAGGGGAGACCTCTGGCTTTAGCTTAGAGCCCTCCAAGGTCACTGTGTGCATGTATGTGTATGTGTGCGTGTGCGTGTGTGTGTGTGTGTGTGTGTGTGTGGCAAGAGATGGAGCCTGGGGGTGTAATCACACTTCCAAGTTCCTCATTGCTTTTTCTCCCACTTGTCCCAATTCCCTCTCCTTGACTTCCTCATCTATGCAAGGATCAAACATGCTTTTGGCCTCTACTTAGTAGGTTAGATGCTACCTGGAGCCGGATGCCTTCTGCCAAGCTCTGATGCTGCTTGTGTTCTCTTTGTCCACGGGGCATTTCTCCTGTGAGCCATCACCGGGCCTTTGCCGTTCTTAGAAAAAAAAAAAAAGTCCTTATCTGTATTCCAGTTCAGTCTGTGCATTATCTGGTAACCATAGCAGCTTTTCTCCTAGCAGAAAAATATGAAGTCCTCTGGGTTAATTTTTAATGTTTCCCCTGGTAAAAGATGATGTTATCCATGAAATGGATTGCCGGCTGATCCCCGAAACCCGGCAGGAGCGCGGATCTCGAGCATATTTTCAGATAAGGCTTTGTCAGGCATGCTGGCCTAATAGAGCATTTATCACAGAGACAAGGAAAAAGGAAAGAGAACTAACATTCGCTGAGTGTTGGGCACCATGTCAGAGCCTGGACTTATCCTGACTTGTTCTGTATTTGGGTGTTATTGTCCCCACTTTCTGGATCAAATACTGAGGCCCAGAGTATTTGCATGACTGTCTCCAGGTTGACTAGCTCAGAAAGGGTGAAGCCTACCTAGGGCCTGGGTTCTATCTTTTGACTCTTAAAGTCTAGATTCTTTCCCATGTCTAGAAATGGCTCAAAGACCTGCTATCTGCCTATAGAGTTTGACTTTTGGGGAAACTAAATATACTGCCCTCCCAGCCCACCCCCATCCTTGGATCATTCCACTGGTCAGAAGACCCTTGGAGGACAGGACCCTAGTATCTACACGCCAGCATTTTTTTTGCCACCAGGGCATCAAGAGATCATTTATGTAATATGGGTGGCAGAGTGTTTTGCCTGGGTCTTCCCCTGGTTGGATGGGCCCGTCCGTCTTCCCTCCCCATCTTCCTGCTGACTCGCCACTCGGCCGAAAATAGCTGTGTCTCCCACAGGGACTGTCTCTCAAGAAAGCTTGTTAAGAAGATAAGCTGTGGACAATCTCTGGTTTCACAGGCCACTAAAGGAGAAGCCCTCCAATCTTTCCAAACACCTTCTTATAAGATACTGTAGTAAAGAGGGCCCAGTCAAAGCTTCCCATGTAGCCTAGACTCTCACAGGCTGTTTTCTGTGGGCCTCCACTTCCCCATCCATAAGGTGGAACTGAGTGTATTCATTTTTTCCTGGACCTGTATGGGGAGGGGTTCTTAGGTGCCAGCCCCAGCACCAGTGCCAAGGATAAAGAATCATGTTGGGGATGTTTCTGTCCTGCCAGTGGGCTCACAGCTCATTCACGTGTCCCAGTCTTTTCCCAAACACAAATCTCATTCACTCTGCGTGACAACCATCCCCAAAATGGGACTTGTGATTCCCATTTTCCAGACGGAGGACCTCCTAGAAAGATCTAATAACTTGCCAGGGCTCAGTACCAAAAAAGGGCTGTACAAATGATGTTTGGATAGATGGATGGATGGATGGTTGGATGGATGGATGGATGGATGGATGGATGGATGGTTGGTTGGTTGGATGGATGATAACCTACAAGTCAGAAAGCTGGATTTGAACCCCAGGTCTGTCTCGTGCTAAAACCCGAGCCTTCCACTGCCCGTTGTCTCACAGCACACCATATCCGTCTTCTGACAGGCCAGCTCCACCCTCATTCTGGCCCTGGGGCAGGAGTGAGCCTTCTGCAACACAAGCCCCTTCAGGAGGCTCTCTGTCTTGGGCTGAGCCACCCCCTCCTCCAGCATTGTGGGCACAGAAACACAGATATCGCCAGTGTCCCAGGAGGTGCTTTGGGCAGCAAAGCAGCAAATCTGCTTCCAGAATCTTTCATTTCATATTGTAATAATGATTATTTGCTGAGCTCCAAAACATAAATAATTTATTTGGATAATCCCCAGCCGAGTGACACTTTCCTAATGAAATGTCTTAGTTTAGAGGAGAATGAGTTCGTTATGAGAAGGCCCCCTTGGCCACTGGGGGCACCCAGAGATGCCAGAACAAGTAGGTGTCTTAGGCAATCTGTTTGGCAGGCTCGGCGGGGTGGGGGGGGAAGGGGGGGGCTCTGGCCGCCATCCAAGCCTCCTCACATCAGAACATCTCTGCTGGGTGTGTCTTTCACGAAGCCTATGTCATTCCTTTGTCAGAGCCACAAGCAGCCTGCTGCCTTCGTGGTCACCCAGCACCCTCTCCCCAACACTGTGGCAGACTTCTGGAGGCTGGTGTTCGACTACAACTGCTCCTCCGTGGTGATGCTGAATGAGATGGACACCGCCCAGGTAGGAGGGCTGCGGCTGCCGCCCAGGTACTCAGGCGCGTTTGGGCAGCCTTGCCCAAGGGTTCGAGGGAGAGCCTGAGAGTCAGCGCATGCCGCCTCCACCCAACCGAGCAGCCTGTGGACGGGTGCTGGCTGGGTTTGAGCACCAAACCAGCCCGTCCTGCTGCCAGCAGAGGCCGGTGGTCTCATGCGGGCCCCGCCACCCCCCACTCTGCATCCCCTCACTTCCAGCAATGACTCTCCCTACTTGGGGGCTTTGCCCAGCCCTCTTCCCCAGTCTGGGGCCAGATTCTGTTGCTCCACCTGCCAGGCACTGATCAGGGTCTTGCTTCAAATCCCACTGAGCACACCGAGCCCAGAGGCTCCCAGAGCCTCCCCAGCTCAGAGCACCTCCTACCGGCAGAAGAGTCTGAGGCCTGGCCACACCCAGCCAGCCAGGCAGCCTAACCCCTGGGAGATGCAGCCCGCACTGATAGAGTTGGAGCTCAGACCTTGGACCCTTGGCCCACGAGCCATCGTGAGGACCCTGGTGTCATCACATAGGGCTCTTGTGTCCAGACAGGCTTCATGCCTTAGCCCCCCGGGGTCTGACGGCTCCAAGCGTCACGTGCCTACAAGCATGTACCAGTGCTCGGGACACGTCATGGGAAAGCTTCTGGAGCCCGCGCCCCTCCACAGCAGGGCAGCCAGTCCTGGGTGGGACAAGTGGGAATGGCCTTTCAGGTGTTTGAAAAGTGGTGTCTTGAAAGAAACTCGGGGTACCTCAGCACACTCCTGCATGCATGCCGGCCTTGTGTGGGAATGAAATACAATGGGTCTGAGCTGTAGTCTTGGCCCTGCGGGGGCTCCCAACCTTGCTACAGAGACGGATGAGCAAATTGTCCCGAGCTCGTGTGGCAGCGCCGTAATAGAGGTCAGCCGCAAAGTGCTGTGCTGGCCGGGAACAGGGAGCAATTAATTCTGCCCAGAGGGTGAGGGAAGACTTCAAAAAGAAGGTGACTTTGGCCTTGAAGAAGGCAGCAGAGTTTTGGGGGTGTGAGGCTGAGGGAGATGGGAAAAGGCCCTCTCTGAGCAGAGGGAATGGGGGCGGGGTGGGGGGGCAAAGGCAAGGGGGTATGACTGTGTATGGCTTGTTTGCACAACAGCTGGGGTCGCAGTGGGGCTGGGGTCTGTTGGGAGCCGACAAGGGAGGTGAGGCTGGAGAGTGCGGCAGGGCGCGGCCAGCACGGGGCTGAGACAGAGTTGGGCCTTGGCTTGCCGGGATGCTTACTTTGTTAGCTCCAGAACCCTTTCCTTGACAAAAACGCTCATGCGGGCGGGCGCAGCACAGGCAACAGCTCTCACCTAGCGCTGCTCGTGCTGAAGCCGCTGGGGTGGAGGCTGGGTCCCTCCAGACTGGTCTTCTAGCTCCCGACCACACACCCCCCCCCCCCCCGCCACCGCCAGTGCTTCGTGGAGAGTCAGGATTCTGGGTGCCTTTGTGAAGCCCCGGGCTTCCCGGGAGCACTGTGAGACAGCACTTGCTGTCCAGCGGGGAGAGATATAGCACTTGGAAGCCAGGGTATGGGTATGGCTGAGTTCTCATTAGAAAGCTGCGTCTGGGGACCCACGAAGAGGAGAAGCTGGAGGGAAACCTGCCAGCCAGGAGATGGCAGAGGAGGATGTTGCAAATGCCCTGAAAAGCGAGGTGGGGGTCTGAACTGAGGAGGTGGCTGGGCAGGCCGGACGGCAGGGCTGGGATGGGGGAGCTGGGCTTCCAGATCCAAGTCCATGGGTCTGGAGAGCAGTGGATGCAGGAGGTGAAGGAGACATTGCAGACGGTGGCAGGGGCCCAGGTCTGGGCAGTCTAGCCTCTGGGGGGAGGCAGAAGGAGGCGGGGGGGGGGCATGGGGAGGAGCAGAGTATGGGAGGGGCCTTGAGTTCGGGGCGGGGATGTGCTGGGAGAGACATGCTCATTCTCGGGCCGTACTTATGGAGTATCTGTTCCCCACTGGGAGTTATTCTAGGTGTTTGGAGCATGTCCTGGGTTAAGACAGAACAAGCAAAACAGGAGACTCCCACCTCTGCTGCAACTTCTGTTCGAAAGTGGAGGAGACAGTGAAGAACAAACACCCTATATGTGCTTAATTATATGTTAGAAGGTCATGAGTTTATGGGAAAAAAAAATACGAGGGCAGGGTAAGGAAGATTGGAAGGTGGGTTTGGGAGTAAAATTGTGATAGAGGGATCAAGGCAGGCCCTATTGAGAAGGTCAGTTTGGAAGGTAGGGAGAGAACGAGCCGTGTGACCGTCTCCAGGAAGAGCATCCCAGGGAGAAAGGACAAGCCACACCAACCCCTGATGGTGGGTTCATGCCTGGCATGTCTGACGAACGGTGCAGAGGCTACTGTGACCAAACAGAGTGGGTGCCGCAGGGGACCCAGCAACGTGGCAGGGCCGCCAGGTCATGGAGGGCCTTGTGGGTTGTGGGAAGGACTTGAGGTTTTAGTCTGAGAGGAAAAGGGAGCCACTGACAGCTTTTGAAGAAAGGAGTGACCCACTTTGACTTTTTTTTAAAAAACCTTCCCTCTGGCTACTGTGTTGAGAACAGACTGTTGGTACGGGAAGGGGAGAGCGTTTGCTAAGGGAGTGAGCAGAAAGGGCAGAGAGGAGGCCATCCTTCCAGGTGACGAGGGATGGCCGCTTGAACCCAGGGGTAGCAGTGGAGTGGATTCTCGATATATCCGGAGGGGAGACCCGATATATCCTGACAGACTGAATGGGGAGTGGGAGAGAGAAGAGGTGACTCCAAGATCTGAGGCTCAAACAGTAGAGATGTAGATGACTGGAATTCAAGAGAGCCAGGAAGTTAAATGGATTCCCATAAAACAAAGACGCCTGTGGAGTGCCAGACTCGAAAGCCATAGCCGTCCTGTTCCTTTCCCTAAAAAAGGAAAACCGTGAACTCTGCTCCCTGAGCCCCTGAGTGAGGTGGGGCCCGTGAAGGCCTGTTTGCTGTCCGCCTTTTCCAGAATCCCTTTTTGTAAAACCAGAGCTCAGGCACGGAGGAGGCGTTTCAAAGAACCTCACTTTGGGACGTGTAGAGAAGCAGGGGTAAAGGCCATTGGCTCTGGCTCCCCCTTCCAGGGTGGGTCTTGGGTAAAAGAAGATTTCTTATCCCTAGGTGTTGGTACATCCTTTGAGAATTGATTTCCCTAAATGCAAAAACACCAGGCTTGGAAGAGCTGTGGGGTTGGCTGCCATATGTAGCCGGCAAGCATCCCCTAACATCAGCAGATGAATAGAGCACTTATGGATATAAATATCATCACCAAAACAGCTGGGTGCCTTGAGAAAATAAACAGTGACACTGCTTGAGCCTCAGAAAAGCCGCTCTCGGCACCTGGAAAGGCGGTTCTTTGAAGTGCTGTCAGCATCTGCCTACCAGCTTGCCCCTGCCAAGACGGCCTCGGCTTCCTGGCCAGCCCAGCCACACAGATGGGTCTGCCCTAGGTCCTGAGCATCAGCAGAGGACCAGTGCCACATCCTGTGGTTGGACCGGAGCCGAGACCATCAGGGCTCGCGTTGAGGGTTGTGGCAGGACTACCTGTAAGTCGCCGAAAAATAAGGTAGAGGAGAGGCTGAAACCTCTCCAAGTGCCTTCCTTTCTTGCCCTGTGGGCCAGTCGGCCTGCCTGCGCTCGGAATCCTATACCGCATCATTCAGTCAGCCATCCCCGGCCACGGATACTCTCCCGTTCTCCACAGTGGCTTCTGTTCAAGGACAGTTCCAAGCAGCGGGGGCTGAAGATAAAGACTCTGAAGGCATCTATATGTCTTCAACCTTAGAGACTTTTTTTTTTTTTTAGCTCTTTAGGACTCCAAGGCCTGTGATCAGATTAGTGGGGCAATATCCTAGAACCACAACATCTAGTAAATGGCATTGTGGTTTCCAGTGGGCATTTCAGAAAGAACATTTCCGGTCACACCCAACAGTCCTGACTCAAGATCCCTTCCATCCTTGTGGGCTCAGTGGGTACACCAGAGCCCGTGGCGAACAGACACCAAAAAGGAGCCCTCTTCATGGTCATGCCACACCCGCCATATTGTGTAGCTAGCTCAGGAGACCCTCTGGGCCAGCCTTGCGGTGGGGCCGTGCAGTAGGCAGAATCATGCTCCTCCCCACCCCCAAAGCTGTCCACCTCCTTGTCTCTAAATTGGCCAATGTGTTGTTTTACAGAGCAGAAGGGACTTTGCAGATGTGGTAAAGTTAAAGACACTGAGATGTTTACGTGGTCCTGGGTTGTCCAGGTGGACCCAATATCAGGATCCTAGTAAGAGGGATACAGAAGATCAGAGTCCATGGTGATGGAAGCAGAGAGTGGAGTGGTACAGCCACAGGCCCAGGAATGCTGGCCGCCTCGCAAAACTGGAGAAGATGAGGAATGGCTTGTCCCCTGCAGACTCCAGAAAGGAACTCAGCTCAGCTGACATTTTGATTTTAGTCCTTTAATACTCATTTCAGATTTCTGACCTCCAGATAATAAATTTGTGTGATGTTAAGCCACCACATTTGTGATTTGTTGCATCAGCCGCAGCAAACTACCACAGGCAATAAAACTGAAAACAGGAATTCAGGCCCAGAGGCATAGGGATCAGTGCCAGTGCGGGGTGTGAGACTGCAATCATGGGAACATCCAGAGTCAGCAGTGCTGGGCTGGAAAGTGGTTCGGGCTGGAGAAATCCATGTCTGAATCAAAGTCCATCAGGAACCATGAGAGAGCAAGATGGGGAGAGCCAAGGACAAGGCAGATGTCCACCTCAACAACCACAGGACTCTTGCAGACCCAGAAGAAGGCCTTTTAAAAGTCAAGGTGCCTGCTTTCTGAGTTGCGTTCAATCCTTCAGTCATCGCCATGCACTGATTGAGAACCTACAGTGTCCCAGGCACAGACCAGACACGGACAAAAAAGGCACAAAACCCACAGTCCCCATGAAGCAGACATGGTAGTGAAGTAAGGTC